ACCCGCCCCGCTGCGACCAAGCCAAAGGCCCCTTCAGTGCAAGCGTCTCTGCCCCCAGCATGTGCAGCGAGCACTAAAGGGTTAACTGGAAAGCATGTGAGTGCGTGTGCTCTGCGGAGCGTGTGGCCCCTCTGCTGGGTCGGGGGGCCGTGTGAGTGCGTGTGCGAGTGCATTGGCATGTGCCCATCGGAGGGAGGCGAGTGTGGCCTCTGCACGTGTGTGTGTAGCCCCTCAGAGTAGCTGTGCACGTGACCACTGGCGTGTGGGTGGGCCCTTCAGCATGTGCGCTTCCCTGTGAGAATGTGGGCGCATGCACACGCTTGTGTGATGCACGAGAGGCAGGCAGCGTGTCCCCGCCCCCGTTGCAGGAACGCCCTCGCTGGCTAGTGGAAAGAGCCGCCCGTCCAGCCCCCTCGTCACACCTGGCGCTGGCCTGCCCCGAGTCCCTCCTCTGCCTGTTTCTGGAAGGGCCCTGGCACAGGCCCCCCCCGCGGCCCCCACAGCAGGAAGGTGCAGGTGAGAGGCACCACGTGCCCAGGGTAGGGCCGGCAAGGCCTCCCAGCCCCACAGACTCAGCATAGGGCCGCCCGGCCCCACAGACTCAGCATAGGGCTGCCTGGCACCACGCACCCAGGGTAGGGCCGGCAAGGCCACCCAGCCCCACAGACTCAGCATAGGGCCGCCCGGCCCCACAGACTCAGCATAGGGCTGCCTGGCACCACGCACCCAGGGTAGGGCCGGCAAGGCCTCCCAGCCCCACAGACTCAGCATAGGGCCGCCCGGCCCCACAGACTCAGCATAGGGCTGCCTGGCACCACGCACCCAGGGTAGGGCCGGCAAGGCCTCCCAGCCCCACAGACTCAGCATAGGGCCGCCCGGCCCCACAGACTCAGCATAGGGCTGCCTGGCACCACGCACCCAGGGTAGGGCCGGCAAGGCCACCCAGCCCCACAGACTCAGCATAGGGCCGCCCGGCCCCACAGACTCAGCATAGGGCTGCCTGGCACCACGCACCCAGGGTAGGGCCGGCAAGGCCTCCCAGCCCCACAGACTCAGCATAGGGCCGCCCGGCCCCACAGACTCAGCATAGGGCTGCCTGGCACCACGCACCCAGGGTAGGGCCGGCAAGGCCTCCCAGCCCCACAGACTCAGCATAGGGCCGCCCGGCCCCACAGACTCAGCATAGGGCCGCCTGGCACCACGCACCCAGGGTAGGGCCGGCAAGGCCACCCAGCCCCACAGACTCAGCATAGGGCCGCCCGGCCCCACAGACTCAGCATAGGGCTGCCTGGCACCACGCACCCAGGGTAGGGCCGGCAAGGCCTCCCAGCCCCACAGACTCAGCATAGGGCCGCCCGGCCCCACAGACTCAGCATAGGGCTGCCTGGCACCACGCACCCAGGGTAGGGCCGGCAAGGCCTCCCAGCCCCACAGACTCAGCATAGGGCCGCCCGGCACCACAGACTCAGCATAGGGCTGCCTGGCACCACGCACCCAGGGTAGGGCCGGCAAGGCCTCCCAGCCCCACAGACTCAGCATAGGGCCGCCCGGCCCCACAGACTCAGCACAGGGCCACCTGGCACCACGCACCCAGCGTGGGACCGGCAGGGCGGCCCAGACTCGTGCCCCGCTGCGCGCAATGTCGAAGGGCTCCTGGCAGGCCCTGCCCGGGCGGTCCCTCGGCCGGGAGCTCTCACAGCTTCGTGGCTTGGACGTGCACGAAGAGCGGGGCCGGGGCCAGCGACGCCCCGTCCCCGGGGGG